ATGGGAGTCTCAGTGATTAACATTTAACCCTATGGGAGTCTCAGTGATTGATATTTAACCCTATGGGAGTCTGTGATTAACATTTAACCCTATGGGAGTCTCAGTGATTAACACTGAACCCTATGGGAGTCTCAGTGATTAACACTGCACCCTATGGGGGTCTCTGTGAACATTTAACCCTATGGGAGTCTCAGTGATTGTCACTGAACCCTGTGGGAGCCTCACTGATTAACACTGAACCCTATGGGAGTCTCACTGATTAACACTGAACCCTATGGGAGTCTCAGTGATTGTCACTGAACCCTATGGGAGTCTCAGTGATTAACACTGAACCCTATGGGAGTCTCAGTGATTAACACTGAACCCTATGGGGGTCTCAGTGATTAACACTGAACCCTATGGGGGTCTCAGTGATTAACACTGCACCGTATGGGAGTCTCAGTGAATAACACTGAACCCTATGGGAGTCTCAGTGATTAACACTGAACCCTATGGGGGTCTCTGTGATGAACATTTAACCCTATGGGAGTCTCAGTGATTAACACTGAACCCTATGGGAGTCTCAGTGATTAACACTGAACCCTATGGGAGTCTCAGTGATTAACATTTAACCCTATGGGAGTCTCAGTGATTAACACTGAACCCTATGGGAGTCTCTGATTAACACTGAACCCTATGGGAGTCTCAGTGATTAACATTTAACCCTATGGGAGTCTCAGTGATTAACATTTAACCCTATGGCAGTCTCAGTGATTAACATTGAACCCTATGGGAGTCTCAGTGATTAACATTTAACCCTATGAGAGTCTCAGTGATTAACACTGAGCCCTATGGGAGTCTCAGTGATTAACATTGAACCCTATGAGAGTCTCAGTGATTAACATTGAACCCTATGAGAGTCTCAGTGATTAACACTGAACCCTATGGGAGTCTCAGTGATTAACATTGAACCCTATGGGAGTCTCAGTGATTAACATTGAACCCTATGGGAGTCAGTGATTAACACTGAACCCTATGGGAGTCTCAGTTATTAACGTTGAACCCTATGGGAGTCTCAGTGAGTAACACTGAACCTATGGGAGTCTCAGTGATGAACACTGAACCCTCTGGGAGTCTCAGTGATTAACATTGAACCCTATGAGAGTCTCAGTGATTAACACTGAACCCTATGGGAGTCTCAGTGATTAACACTGAACCCTATGGGAGTCTCAGTAATTAACATTGAACCCTATGGGAGTCTCAGTGATTAACATTGAACCCTATGGGAGTCTCAGTGATTAACACTGAACCCTATGGGAGTCTCAGTGATTAACACTGAACCCTATGGGAGTCTCAGTGATTAACATTGAACCCTATGGGAGTCTCAATGATTAACATTGAACCCTATGGGAGTCTCAGTGATTAACACTGAACCCTATGGGAGTCTCAGTGATTACCACTGAACCCTGTGGGAGTCTCAGTGATTAACACTGAACCCTATGGGAGTCTCAGTGATTAACACTGAACCCTATGGGAGTCTCAGTGATTAACACTGAACCCTATGGGAGTCTCAGTGATTAACACTGAACCCTATGGGGGTCTCAGTGATTAACACTGAACCCTATGGGAGTCTCAGTGATTAACACTGAACCTTATGGGAGTCTCAGTGATTAACACTGAACCCTATGGGAGTCCCAGTGATTAACACTGAACCCTATGGGAGTCTCAGTGATTAACACTGAACCCTATGGGAGTCTCAGTGATTAACACTGAACCCTATGGGAGTCTCGGTGATTAACACTGAACCCTATGGGAGTCTCAGTGATTAACACTGAACCCTATGGGGGTCTCAGTGATTAACACTGAACCCTATGGGAGTCTCAGTGATTAACACTGAACCCTATGGGAGTCTCAATGATTAACACTGAACCCTATGGGAGTCTCAGTGATTAACACTGAACCCTATGGGAGTCTCAGTGATTAACACTGAACCCTATGGGAGTCTCAGTGATTAACACTGAACCCTATGGGAGTCTCGGTGATTAACACTGAACCCTATGGGAGTCTCAGTGATTACCACTGAACCCTATGGTAGTCTCAGTGATTAACACTGAATCCTATGGGGGTCTAGGTGATTAACACTGAACCCTATGGAGGTCTCGGTGATTAACACTGAACACTGTGGGAGTCTCAGTGATTAACATTGAACCCTATGGGAGTCTCATTGATGAACACTGAACCCTGTGGGAGTCTCAGTGATGAACACTGAACCCTGTGGGAGTCTCAGTGATTAACACTGAACCCTATGGGAGTCTCAGTGATTAACACTGAACCCTATGGGGGTCTCAGTGATTAACACTGAACCCTATGGGGGTCTCAGTGATTAACACTGCACCGTATGGGAGTCTCAGTGAATAACACTGAACCCTATGGGAGTCTCAGTGATTAACACTGAACCCTATGGGGGTCTCTGTGATGAACATTTAACCCTATGGGAGTCTCAGTGATTAACACTGAACCCTATGGGAGTCTCAGTGATTAACATTTAACCCTATGGGAGTCTCAGTGAATAACACTGAACCCTATGGGAGTCAGTGATTAACACTGAACCCTATGGGAGTCTCAGTGATTAACATTTAACCCTATGGGAGTCTCAGTGATTAACATTTAACCCTATGGCAGTCTCAGTGATTAACATTGAACCCTATGGGAGTCTCAGTGATTAACATTTAACCCTATGAGAGTCTCAGTGATTAACACTGAGCCCTATGGGAGTCTCAGTGATTAACACTGAACCCTATGGGAGTCTCAGTGATTAACACTGAACCCTATGGGAGTCTCAGTGATTAACATTGAACCCTATGGGAGTCTCAGTGATTAACATTGAACCCTATGGGAGTCAGTGATTAGCACTGAACCCTATGGGAGTCTCAGTTATTAACGTTGAACCCTATGGGAGTCTCAGTGAGTAACACTGAACCTATGGGAGTCTCAGTGATTAACACTGAACCCTATGGGAGTCTCAGTGATTAACATTGAACCCTATGAAAGTCTCAGTGATTAACACTGAACCCTATGGGAGTTTCAGTGATTAACACTGAACCCTATGGGAGTCTCAGTGATTAACACTGAATCCTATGGGGGTCTAGGTGATTAACACTGAACCCTATGGAGGTCTCGGTGATTAACACTGAACACTGTGGGAGTCTCAGTGATTAACATTGAACCCTATGGGAGTCTCAGTGATGAACACTGAATCCTGTGGGAGTCTCAGTGATGAACACTGAACCCTGTGGGAGTCTCAGTGATTAACACTGAACCCTATGGGAGTCTCAGTGATTAACACTGAACCCTATCGGGGTCTCAGTGATTAACACTGAACCCTATGGGAGTCTCAGTGATTAACACTGAACCCTATGGGAGTCTCAGTGATTAACACTGAACCCTATGGGAGTCTCAGTGATTAACACTGAACCCTATGGGGGTCTCAGTGATTAACACTGAACCCTATGGGAGTCTCAGTGATTAACACTGAACCCTATGGGAGTCTCAATGATTAACACTGAACCCTATGGGAGTCTCAGTGATTAACACTGAACCCTATGGGAGTCTCAGTGATTAACACTGAACCCTATGGGAGTCTCAGTGATTAACACTGAACCCTATGGGAGTCTCGGTGATTAACACTGAACCCTATGGGAGTCTCGGTGATTAACACTGAACCCTATGGTAGTCTCGGTGATTAACACTGAACCCTATGGGAGTCTCAGTGATTAACACGAACCCTATGGGAGTCTCAGTGATTAACACTGAACCCTATGGGAGTCTCAATGATTAACACTGAACCCTATGGGAGTCTCAGTGATTAACACTGAACCCTATGGGAGTCTCAGCGATTAACACTGAATCCTATGGGAGTCTCGGTGATTAACACTGAACCCTATGGGGGTCTAGGTGATTAACACTGAACCCTATGGGGGTCTCAGTGATTAACACTGAACCCTATGGGAGTTTCAGTGAGTAACACTGAACCCTATGGGAGTCTCAGTGATTAACACTGAATCCTATGGGGGTCTAGGTGATTAACACTGAACCCTATGGAGGTCTCGGTGATTAACACTGAACACTGTGGGAGTCTCAGTGATTAACATTGAACCCTATGGGAGTCTCAGTGATGAACACTGAACCCTGTGGGAGTCTCAGTGATGAACACTGAACCCTGTGGGAGTCTCAGTGATTAACACTGAACCCTATGGGAGTCTCAGTGATTAACACTGAACCCTATGGGAGTCTCAGTGATTAACACTGAACCCTATGGGAGTCGCAGTGATTAACACTGAACCCGATGGGGGTCTCAGTGATTAACACTGAACCCTATGGGAGTCTCAGTGATTAACACTGAACCCTATGGGAGTCTCAGTGATTAACACTGACCACTATGGGAGTCTCAGTGATTAACACTGAACCCTATGGGAGTCTCAGTGATTAACACTGAACCCTATCGGGGTCTCAGTGATTAACACTGAACCCTATGGGAGTCTCAGTGATTAACACTGAACCCTGTGGGAGTCTCAGTGATTAACACTGAACCCTATGGGGGTCTCAGTGATTAACACTGAACCCTATCGGGGTCTCAGTGATTAACACTGAACCCTGTGGGAGTCTCGGTGGTTAACACTGAACCCTATGTGGGTCTCAGTGATTAACACTGAACCCTATGGGAGTCTCAGTGATTAACACTGAACCCTGTGGGAGTCTCAGTGATTAACACTGAACCCTATGGGAGTCTCAGTGATTAACACTGAACCCTATGGGAGTGAGTCTCAGTGATTAACACTGAACCCTATGAGAGTCTCAGTGATTAACACCGAACCCTATAGGAGGAGCCTCTGTGATTAACGGAATCTGTATTCGGCACGGAGTTGCGTGTGAATCTCTCTCTCTGGCGCAGATGGAATTCCTGTCGCCATCGTACCGACCGTGACCTCTGCGCTGTGCCCCCGTGTCCCACCCCCATGCAG